AAGGAGGATTCGGTAAACTTGTATTTGAAGGTGTAGATGTACTTTCAAGTTCAAATTTATTAACCCAAGTATAATTTGTAGTATCCAACAAATAAATTCTTTTCGAATAATTATATACTAATCTATCTGGATGAGTAAGAGAACCTGTATAATTCGATAAATTATTTATTAGATTATGTCTAAATAGAAATACTAAATATTACGTATAAGGAAAACTTACCAAAAGCAACAATCATGTAATTTTTAACTAGATGTGCTGTATGATACGCAAGTGATGGTAATTCATCGATGTTTGTTGACACGTGCGGTAAGGTCCATTCAAATGGAAAAGTTTGAGTATTTAAAACAGCCAGAAGTGGTATGGCATTAATTGGGTAAGTATCGTTTTCACCTTTCGCACCACCATATATGATTATTTTTCCATCTTGAACTATAACTATATGTTAATAAATGTCAAACACTATAAAAAAATGATAATAAGTTATGCCTACCTAATACGGCTGAATGACCATAACGGGAATCAATTTGATCAGTACTTTTTGCTTGCTTAAAAAATTTTTAATTTTAAATTTAATTAATTGTTTTAAGCAAATTAATTAACATAATTACCTAAATACTTACTGTCACTGACCACTTATTATGTTTTGTATCATAAAGGTTAATTTTGTTTATATCTACATTACTCCCGGTTTCATCATATTCAGGTACTTCCCAACCCCCAATATATACAATAGTACCATTTGGTAAAAATGTTGCAGTATATACATATCGGTTTGAAGGAGAATTAGCCGTAGAACCATATGATAACATTAAATCATTGGTATTTATTATTATCATATCATTAGAAAGTTGTAAAGTTTCTGATCCTGTGCCGTTATCAATACTTCCACCAAAAACATAAATTTTTCCAGTTTCATCAGCGACAGCTTGAATATCTCTTCGCCTCAATGATTCGGTTCCTGGAATTACAGGTACATTCCATTTCCCGGAGCGTAGATTAAATGCGTGTACGAGTGAGGTAAAGGCATCTTCATCATTTTGATTATAATTTACTCCTCCAATAAGGTATATTGTCGGGTTATCATTATCATTATTTAATGCAACAGCAGTCGACCAAGCACCTCTAAATCCTATTCCTGAATTTAATGAAAGGTCGGTCCATGGCGGAAACGACGTTTCAAATTGTTGAGACACATCAAGATAAAATACGGCATTTGTAAATTTAGTTCCATTATCCCCACCAAAAAAATATAGCTTATTTCCAACGAGGACAGATGATTGAGCAAAACGTTTCTCAGGCGTAAATGATTCGACTCTTAAAATGAAGATGAAGCATAGCTGAAGTAATTTGTGATATATTTTACAAACCATAATTTAATAAAGTAATTTATTTCAAAAAAAAAAAAAAAAAATATTCGTTAAAATTTAAACTCATTATTATCCCTAAATTATTAAATTTAGTTCACATTGCATTCAAATATCTATAATTAGCCGGATTTATTTATACAAAATGTCGTGTTACATCGGGGTGTTTCATCGACTAATTAAATCAAAATTATGTACGGTAGGTATCATATAAAATGAAAATAACAAAAGTAGGACCATCTTTCAAGTTTATTATTAGAGATTTTACGGTATTAAAATATAGTACTATAATTAAACTTTCGTCTTTATAATAAATTTCCTATTAAAATTAGAAAGATCGTTCACACTAGGTTAATTTCCAAGTTGTTTTTCAATAGTAAAATTTTTTTCCTCGGTGTTTTTTTCAAAAAGAGAGGTGTCATATTTCTTCAAGTCATTGTGTATAAATATTAATTCAAACGAATGTTATCGAATTATTAAATTTTGACAATTGAATAGGTAAATCAAAATGATCGTCAAAAATCTAATAATAAACTTTTAATGATACCGTACCGTACATAATTTTTAGTTGATGGAACACCCCAGTGTTACATACTATGCTTGAATTTGAAAGGAAGTCAGTTATAAATGATATGACCGAATTAAGAAAACTGCTGAACAAAACCAATTGTTCAATTATGACGATAAACCATAATGTCTAGTGAAATAAATTTTTCAAAATGTTATATTAGGCCACGAACGTCAAAAAATACAGTAGCAAATAAAAATCATCATTTGAAGTTTGGATCAAACAAACGGAAAAAATTTGATGATCCAAATGTCCCGAATTAAAAAAAGGTACTCGCCAATCGACATGATTGATTGAAATATTGAAACGAACAGATTTTCCTGCTCAATTTTAGCCACTTTTTAATTGGTCAAAATAATTTCATAAAAATCGTGATTGCGTATGCTAATTTGTGTGGAAATCCAAAATCTACTGTGGAAGATTTCCGGCGGTATTAAAATACATAACATTTCAATACGTAAATATTAAAAATATCTACCGTTATTTATAAATGAAAATTTTGTAGGATGTATCTTTATTAAATAAATAGAATGCATTCGAATATTAGGACTAGCTATAAATATTTTTTTTTTTAGTTTTCCAAAAATTTCAAAAAATTTTTTGGTTTTTTTTTATAAATCAACTCGGAAATTATTTTTTTTTGTAATTCTCACTTCAATATTGATGCTTGTGTAACATACAGAGATGGTACGGTTATGGAACCAATTCTAAATTCAAATATATACTTAGTTTACTTGAATTAGTACAAACTAATTTAAAAATCGAACCGGAACTGGCTCAAAATAGTCGGCTTAAATTCGGTCAAGGATAGTTATTGATAACCAATCATAAAAATTTATATAATTGATAACATCACATGCTATAAATTAACTTTAACGCTCAAAGGTTAACAGTCAAGGTTTAATTTACTTTATTAGAGTCGAAGTAGAACCGAAGAGAACCAAAATGGAACCGAGTGAACCGAATCAAAGTTGCACTTGTGAACCGTCACCATCCCTACATACACAACTTTATAAAATTTCATTGAAAAAATTATCCGGGTTCCCATCATTATAAAAGTTTTATGTTATAGGAATTTAATTGTTTTTATACCCCGTCGCACTAAGTGTGATCATAATTTCCCTAATGATAAAAATAAACGATTTTTCTCCGTGATATTTTTAGACTGTTTTTTTCACAGCAATAAACTTTTTTATGAACTTCAAATTATTTTATTTTTTATAGATATATAAATTTATATTATTGCCGATATTATCTGTTTTATCTATTCTAATGCTTTAACAATAACCTCTACTTTAACATTATTGCAATTTTTAATATTAACATTTTCAATATTAACTTGCGGAATTTTTGACGAAACATTTGTTAAATCTTCTTTTATTTCAAATGAATGTTGTTGTTGTTGTAATAATTGAGAAGCTGTAATAAAACCTAAAATATGTAATTTTTAGATTAGAAGTAAAAATAAATAAATACAGCAATATTATGGTACCTTGATTTTCAGATATAATTTCCGTTAAAGTATTTCATTTTTTTGTAGGAAAATTATTAGAAGAAATTTCGATAGGATCATCCATATTTCTTTTTTGTGGAATAAGAAGTGAAACATTATTTTTTCTTTGTTGAACAGTTGAAGTTGAATATGAAGAAATGCCAGCAAGTGTCCTGTGTCCTGAAATATCCATCTGTTCTGCATGAGATATACCATGTAACATCCATAAAGATATTCCAGTTGAACGCATTGAATGATTGACAAGATTTCGTCCCTTTACATCAATTTTACAATCAGCAATAATATTTTTGAGTGAAGTATTAATCCTTAAAAAAAACTCAGTAGTTTTACAATCTTTTGGTCTTTAGATCTGCTACTGGAGAATAATTATTTGGTTGATCTGCGAGAATATAATTATGTCTACCAGCATTATATGGATTTTTGGCACCTCCTGCATTATTTTTTTCACGAGGTATATTTACTTCAATACTACGATCTTCATTAATAAAGATCCAGGAATTTTTTAATCTTTTTGGATCACCACCACGCAGATTACAAAGAAGTGTTAGCCAAAACCAAACACAATATGTAAGACCTTTTGGTGTATCAGTTTACATATTTGGTGAATTAAGAATAGTTTCAATTTCCCACATTTCAAGTGCATCAGTTTTCTTACGAGATGTATCTTAATTATCATGAATTTGTTTAATACGACCATCAAAAATTTCATGAAGCCGTTTTCATTTATGCTTATCATGAATAATAATAAGTCTAATTTGATAAAAAATATCGGATAACCCTTTAGCAATTGCAGCAAAGCCTACATGCAATGAAGAAGGTACACATTCATTTATTCCAGATTTTCTAACGCCACAAAAGAATTGACAAAGCTGATTTTGCAATGCAGTATCATCTGAGATTCAGTCAAATTGGCTGCATTTCTATAAGCATTAAAAAGATTCATCCAAGATTTTGTACTATCATCTGCATTAGCAACGCGAGAGTAAGCTTGACTATTTTGTAAATCTTTATCAGTAGGAATAACAAATCGTTCATGTGTTGTTGATAATTGGTTCTTTTTATTAGAATTATTTGATTCAATTAATAATGTTTCCTTGAAAATTCAATGAAACTATTAATTATTTTATTTTTTTATTTATATTTTTTTTAAAAAAATGCAAAGATAATACCATCTTTATTTTATAAATCTTCAGATATTTGTTTAAAATGTAAGTAAAAAAAAAAATGAAGAAAAATAATTTTTGACGAAAAGAAAAAGAAAAATGCCATGTGATCAAAAGTATAAAAAAAACTATAAATAATGATTGAACACGTGATAATAACAATGGTAATAAATTATCACAAATCACACGCTCCTGGGGATCGGATACCGTAGTTTTTTTCCCTACGAGAAAAAAACTGCGATATTCCTAACTACCCATGAAATTACTTATATTTATGTTCGCCCTTACTGACCGAACTCTATATTTATCATTAATTTCAAATATTTCATGAAAATGATGAAGTAATGAATCATCAAAAAAGATTTAATCCCGATATAATTTTTACACAGTAAACTAGCAAATTTATGTTACTACAAATTTGCAACTCATGTATTAATTCGGGTTGTGAAGCTTTTCGCCTTTGTTCCTCTTCATTACAGAGCGCAATTTAAGAAATTTGTATTTATAGTTGCCTGGCAAACTCATTTTAGCAAATGGCAAAAGTCGAAAACTTAAATTTCGACGGATTTTTTAATAAGGACTTTAATATAATTTTTGACGTATGACGGGATTTTATTATGGTTTCGAGTTTCGACGGTTTTACCAATAAGATTTATAATATTTTTGCCAATGACCCTGTCGAAACCCGAGAATTTTCCAGGCAACTATTCTTGTATTTATAAAAATTAATAAGCTACATCATTTTGCTGAATACCAAAATTATAATAATGTGTAAAAAAATAATAACCATTGATTGCTTTAACAAATTTTTTAAAATAAAACCAAGAATATTTTCAGGAATTATGTTATTTTAAAATTGAAATCGGTAGAAATGACGTAATACTATTAATAAATTATCATTAAATTTGGCTGAGAAAAATTTTTTATTTTTGTTTGTTTACATAATGAATTGACTTAAAATTTATATTGAATCAGCTTTCTTTTTTAAGAAGATATGTAAAAATAAATATATGGTGTTTGATTAATAAGAAATTTTACTTACAAATTGTTTTAATTTTAACTATAAAATAAATAAATTATATATATATATTAGAAATTTAATTAAATAATTGCAAAATTACTAAATATGGTTTATATTAATTATTCTCACATTTTAAAATCGTTAGCAAATAATTCCTTAAATAAAATATTTTAAATCGTTTGAATTAAATCTTATTGTATATTAAAGCAACTATTGAAATTTAATGTTAGATATGTATATCGTGATCAGATGAATAACGTTACTTATAGGATTATAATACAAATTATAATTTAACTTTTACATTTACATTTTGCTTGATATCTTAATGTATATCAAACAATAACTTTAAAAAACTTTATTAAAGGACAAGCATTTGTTTATAATGCTTATTAGGTTGAGTTTAATTTAACTTTAATAAAAGTGTACAGTATTATTGTAGTAGGTAATAATGATGTGTTATAAAATCATAAAATTTGTTATAAATAGTATTGGGTTAAAATTTTAATTTTATTTACTTTTAAAAACAAATAAAGCTTCAACCGATTATTTGCTGATTTATAAATATTTTTCATTCCAACAGGAAACAAATTTACATATTTTCAACTGAAGTCACGTGATCATGTCGAACAATTTAAACGAGTCTCGTAACAACAAACAAAAATAGGTCCTGATGAGATAAAAATTAAAATCAATTCTTGATAAAATTTGGATAAATAAAATTATCAGAGGTAACAAAGTAAAAATAAAAAGAAGAAAAAAATATGGTTAAAAAAACAAGAAAAAACAATCCATACATTGAAACGTTATGATTTTCGATTATTCATATGAATGTTAATTTTAATTCAGAAAATAATTTTGCAAATTTATTTTTCGGATTTTATTGGTGTTTTTATTGTTATTAAGCCAAAAATATATGTAGAGAAGGGCACATTTATTTTTATAATTTTACAGTCCAAGTCTTTTCCTTTGTGGTAGTCATCGTAAATTCCATGTTGATTATAAAAAAAAAAGACTTTTGAATTTGAAGACATGAAAAATTGATTTCTAAAAAATCCAAGCATTGCCAATAATCGAGGGCACATGCACGTGAAATTATCAACATATGTTTACGTAACACAACTCATTTCCTATTTTGTCATGAAGATCTTGTGCGTCAGTATTTATTTATTATTTATTTATCCCGTGTTCCGATTTCTTTAATAATTTTTTTTTTTTTTTTTTATTGAAAATATGTCTAAACTTAACCAAGACGTACTTTGTTTGGTCCTCAAGGAACTATCATCTTGCAAAAGTCAAAGTTGGACGCGTGAACCTCTTTATTCATGTTTATTTGTAAACAA